TCTCCTATCAGTCCCCACCCTAGTTCAAGACCGACTAGATACTGTTTAAACAGAGATCCCGGAAATTGATTTCCTTCAACTTGGGAAACCCATGTCTATATTACCTGCAAATGCTGTCATGTTGACTGACTGGCCATAGTTGTCTCTTGTAGCCACCGAAGCGAGCTCATCAATTGTCCGCTGTGATAACCCAAAGTCATCTTTTAAAACACGAGCAAGAGGTTCTTTTGTGTAATTCATAAATGTCATATCCATAGCATTCAGCAGTTTCGCAGGTGTGCTAAATGCATACCCAGCATCTTGTATTTCATATATACTATATAAAATAAAGTATATACTTTACAAAATATTATATAAAATATATACTATATAAAATACTACAAATAATTTATATACTAAAAAAAATATATAAAATAATTATACACTTTATGAGATACTATATAAAATATATACTATATCAATACTGTATACCATTTAAAATAACTATATAAAATATATTTCATATAAAATAACTATATAAAATATATACTATATAAAAATATATATATTTAAAGATTCAAATTATTATTTTATGGAATATAAAATACATGTATATTGGGAAAATTTCAGATTATTTCACTATTATTTGTATGCATAAAATACTGTTAAGTCATATAGTTTTATATATCATTTGAAGTAACACACGTTGAAATATAAAAACATTCAAGAAGTGAATATATTCATTTAAAGACGATGGAAAGGGAAAGCATTTTGAGTGTCTAAAATGTGTACATCTGGAATAACAAATACAAAGACAAATGGCAGCATAAACATCTGAATGGCTTGATTTGGGGTACTTCTTGTTACTAGGGAGCATTACTCTATCCTGGGGAGGGATTACTCAACCCTGGGGAGCTGTGTGTGACTCCATGGTATCTACACTCATCTTGAAAAATCGAAATCCTATGCCCGTTCTACATTCTTCGACTTTTCTTCAGCTTTTAACACAATTCAACCTCACATCCTTCTGAAAAAAACTCTCAACTCTAAATACCAACCCCCACCTTATCCTATGGATCGGAGATTTCATCACAAACAGACCTCAAATGATTAGATTAGGAAAGCTGTTTTCAAACATTCTGTTCACAAATACCGGTGTCCCCCAGGGATGTGTTTTATCGCCCATACTTTTTTCCATATATACCAATGATTTTCGTGTTAATGGTAATTGTAACTTAATCAAATATGCAGATGATTCAGTTATCACGGGGTTGATTTTGAATGGATGTGAAGACGAATATAAAAATGTTATCAGTAAGTTTGAAAGATGGTGTAAAGATAACTGTTTAATTTTAAATGCAGATAAGACTAAAGAAATAGTGTTCGACTTCAGAAGAAAGAAAGAAATGGTCGAACAAATTAAAGTTAATGATAAAGAAATTGAAACAGCTAATGAACATAAATATTTAGGAATTTTTATAGATAAAGACATGAACTGGAATGCAAATACATTAAATATTGTAAAGAAAGCTAGTCAACGTATGTATATGCTAGGAAAACTAAAGTCGTTCAATGTGTGTAATGAAATATTATCACTATTCTATCATAGTACAATTTTAAGTGTGCTATCTTATGGATGTGTAGCATGGTACAACAGCCTACTGAGTACAATAAGATGAAAATTGATCGAATCACAAAAAAAATGCCCGCAAGTTGATTGAAAATGATGTAAATAAGGTTGAAGATGTCTATGAGAGAGAGGCCATTACTCATTTAAAGAAAATTCTAGAAGAAAACTTCCATCCGCTACATAAGGAACTCATTATCTGTAGATCTGGCCAAACACTTAAGATGAACTCTAACTTAGACTTAAATAATATGAATACTTTCTTCGCCAGATTTGATTCTGACTGTAAGGAACGTTCAAAGTAAATTGTGTGATTTTAATATAGATTTTGATGCTAGAACTATTAGAAATTGTCTAAAAAATGTTAAAACTTGTAAAGCGACAGGACCTGATAAGCTATCAGCTAAATTAATTAAGTTGTGTGCAAATGAACTGTGCGATATATTTTTTAGGTTATATAAATGGTCCCTCGAATCGGACACGGTACCTATTTTATGGAAAACATCCTTTATAACGCCACTACCTAAAAAACAAACCCAGTATAAATAATGATTACAGGCATATTGCCCTGACCTCAATACCAATGAAGTGCCTGGAGTCTATTGTAAAACATGCCCTGTTAAAAGAATGTAACAACAAACTAGACTGCTACCAATTTGCTTATAGGAACAAGAAAGGGGCTAGTGATGCTATACTAACACTTCTCCATGGTATCTACACTCATCTTGAAAAATCGAAATCCTATGCCCGTTCTACATTGTTCGACTTTTCTTCAGCTTTTAACACAATTCAACCTCACATCCTTCTGAAAAAACTCTCAACTCTAAATATAAACTCTCAACTCTAAATATCAACCCCCACCTTATCCTATGGATCGGAGAGATCATCACAAACAGACCTCAAATGGTTAGATTAGGAAAGCTGTTTTCAAACATGCTGTTCACAAATACCGGTGTCCCCCAGGGATGTGTTTTATCACCCATACTTTTTTCCATATATACCAATGATTTTCGTGTTAATGGTAAATGTAACTTAATCAAATATGCAGATGATTCAGTTATCACGGGGTTGATTTTGAATGGATGTGAAGACGAATATAAAAATGTTATCAGTAAGTTTGAAAGATGGTGTAAAGATAACAGTTTAATTTTAAATGCAGATAAGACTAAAGAAATAGTGTTCGACTTCAGAAGAAAGAAAGAAATGGTCGAACAAATTGAAGTTAATGATAAAGAAATTGAAACGGTTAATGAACATAAATATTTAGGAATTGTTATAGATAAAGACATGAACTGGAATGCAAATACATTAAATATTGTAAAGAAAGCTAGTCAACGTATGTATATGCTAGGAAAACTAAAGTCGTTCAATGTGTGGAATGAAATATTATCACTATTCTATCATAGTACAATTTTAAGTGTGCTATCTTATGGATGTGTAGCATGGTACAACAGCCTTACTGAGTACAATAAGATGAAAATCACAAAAAATGCCCGCAAGTTGATTGAAAATGATGTAAATAAGGTTGAAGATGTCTATGAGAGAGAGGCCATTACTCATTTAAAGAAAATTCTAGAAGACAACTTCCATCCACTACATAAGGAACTCATTATCTGTAGATCTGGCCGACTACTTCCTATGAAATGTAAAACAAATAGATGCAGAAAATCATTTGTGCATAATTCCAGCCATTTACACAACTCAAAATTTAAAAGATAATCCATATTTATTTGCTTGAACGACCTGTATATATGTAAAATGGTTTTGTGATAACGTAATTTATTTTTTTTATTTCGCCTTATGTATGTTTTTATCTAGTAGTTAAGATTTCAAGTGTCAACAGGAAAAATTTCATGTATACTTCATTGTAAACGTGACAATAAAGAAAATCTTATCTTATCTTATCTTATCAAATCAGTCACTCGTTGCAAATTGTATTTCAGAGAAAATGGCCAAAACATGAGCTGGAATATCAAATTTTTTCAAATCTATTTTATTGCAGTACTAAACTAACCTTTTTATATATTTATATATCATGCTATGCTGTTACTTTAGTTCCCCATTTTAAATGTTAAAACAACACTTTTGAAGGATTTGATGATAGTTTCTGGATGAGAAATGCCCAAAATCATGAACATTGAAGGCTGATTTCTCATATATTGTTCTTTAAACAGCTGCATGTTTAAACGCTTGTAACCTCATAACAAAATGTTGGATTTTAAAGATTTTTTTAACCATTTTATAGCTTAATTTTACAGTTTCACCCTGTATTAATACTTCAAAATCACTTTTTGCGATGAGTGACTGGTTTGACTTTTCTTGTCTTTGCCACAATTCCAGAAAAAAAAGGATGATATTTTTATAGGCATACAAACAGTATCAATGACTGTCTCTGTCATATATATCTATTCATCCACCTCTTTTTTGCATGCAGCAACATTCAAAATATTGGCCCTTGAAAATGAAAACAAAAAAATCATAAAAAAAATAATTTAGATTTTTTTGTAAATTATTAACTTGTGCAAAGAATTGAACTAAAAAGGTGTCTACCCTGATTTAATAATAATAAAAAGGTTTTCCTATAATGTTTTGCTATAAAATTATGGGTAATCATTTTTTAAATACACAAATTTCTATCAAGTTGAAAATTTGTATGTTACTTCAAAACAGGCAAGTTAATTCCAAAATGAATTATTTTAATGATTTTGTTGGTAATTTGCCTAGGGCAATTTAAAATTAATTAAACTTGTCTAGTATAAGTTCTTGATACTGGCTAGTTGACAATGGAAGCATTCCTAATAATACATACCTGTTAAATTTCTCAATCATTTTATCAATTCGATTGTTTAAGTAGAAGAAATCCAATTTGTACCGCCACATCAACTTCAGTAAGTTTACGATGTCGAATGAGCTTTCTTCGAAAACAAACTCCTCGCCGTCATAAATCCCCATATTCAAACTAGGGGAATCAGCTACGTCCAACCCTGAAAAAAAACAGACACCATGGTTCAGTTTGCTCTGGTGGTAATAACTGAGTGTGTGTGCTGAACCATGATGACCTTTGGGTGTCTGGTTCAAATCAATCCATGTTGACACATTGCAGTGGGAAGAAGTCCCTTCTGGGAGATCTGGTTACATGAGTTTTTCTTAAGACATCTAATTTAATTTTGTTGGCACATAGTGATATTTATCGACACTGACATCCATGAGACAATTGACAATAGAGCAGTGAAATTATTATGTGTGGGCAACTGGTAAACTTTTTCCTCTCTCTCTGTCATTATGTTTTTATCAGTTTAATTGTTTAATAATTGGCCCATGTGCATAAATAAATAAAAATACTTCTTTAGAGTAAATGTGTCGTTGATTTTTTAGTAATGACTGTTTTCCACAAATGCATTCAATACATGAATGGCTCTTCTAAAAGATGATGTACTATATTGAATACAGTACTGTAACAGGGGTTACAAGCTGGAAAAGAAAATTTCTGGAAGATCTGTTTAAACAAGCTTTCTTAGCACTTAAAATTTTGTTTTGCTGCTTATGGTGGTACAATGGACACTGAGACTTCCTTGAGACACATGATGGGTAATACAGTGGTGAAAACATGCAGATATAATTAACTGGCAGGTGATGGGTTATTTCTGGGAGATTCTTCACCGGATGCGGGAGGCGGCTGTCCTGAATTCTGGGGGGCTCCATGACTTGCAGGGAGACTTGGGTCCCCTGCTCTAATAATGATAATAGTAATTTAATTTGCATTTTTATTGATGTTAAGTACAGTATTGTACAGTTCCCCCCTCTAATTCAAAACCACCTTTGGGGCCTGAAAATTGGGGATGGACTCAAGTTTTGGTCTCCAATTAGAAAGTTTTGTGTTAAAATATTTCATAGATGCTTCAAAAAAGGGGCCTCAAATGAGAGGGGTCTCAAATTGCAAGGGGGGGGGGTGGGGGATGGGAGTTTGGTGAGCAGTATTTAGTATACACAATACAACGTCACTAACAATATATCATTGCTATTGTTAGCAGTTTTATAATTACTGAACCATTTGAATTAACTTTGGCAACAGCAACAATCACACTTACCATAGTCCTCAACAAATTTGTTCATGTACATGTTTTTCTCATGTAGAACAGAACCTCCAGATTCATATTGCCTGCCAGCCATTTCAACGGTTGCCATCCGACCTCCGATTGCCTTTGGCTCAAATAAGCTGATGGTAGCAGCATCTCCAAACAACTCTCGTAAGAAATGGCTACAGGATGTTCCACCAATACCACCACCAATGACAGCTAGCATGAATGGAAGTTACGATTATGAAAAACTTTAAATACAATTCTACTAACATATAGCCATTTCAGGCCTCCTTCTAATTGTAACAAAGACAAGCCACCGGTCACTCCTCACAAAAATTGATTTTTTTTTTTAGTTATTAATAAGGTTAAAATGTAAAATGAAAGTTATGATAAAAGAATCATATAAAATCCAAAATTTTGTTGTGAAGTTACAGGTATTTAAACATACAGCTGTTTAACAGTATTTGATATATCAGCCTTCGATGTTTTAATTCGTGCAATCCTCAGGCAGAGAAATTTGAAATTTCAATATGTTTTTGCCAGTATCTCAGAAACATGATTTGTTAGGAGTGAATAGTTTTACTGGTCCTTGCCACAACTAAAGACCCCTCGGAATTAAAGACCACCTCCAATTAAAGACCAATTTTCTGGCCCAAACTTAAGGTTAATTAGAGGGAGACAAACCTGTCATCTGATGCCAGTTTGCCAACTCAAACAAACTTTTCGATTGCCAATACATACTGTGGTCTAAAAGCCCATTTTATAGGCTAGAATCACTCACTGTGGACCTCATCTTGATTATTATGAGACCCTGCCAAGGCTCTACAGCTGGCCACCACTTGGTTCAGACCCCTGTTGAATTTGTGGACCCCCATGCAAAAACAAAGAGCATACATTGGATTGCTTGGGCTGTACCATGATTCACACCACTGACTGGCAGTGGTATTGGCACTGCTTCTGATATGAAATTATAGATCGATGATAGAGTCGAAAGGGATTATTAAAATCAGGGAAAATAATGTGAAAGTTATCCATTTTCAACAACCTAAATTCAGTCACATGCACCCTCTCATTAAACAACACTACAAGACCTAGCATAAAAGACGGCCTTGCTTGCATTTGGGTGCTTCGTCCTCCCAATCAGGGTCCAGCTCACTAACACCGGTCAGGGTGCCTTCTTTCAGTGCTCAGTGCTTCCAAATGCGTAGGGTAATCTTCTTCCTCCTCGCTTCTTACCTATTTCTACAGCTTCATCATTGTTCTTGTTGTTTTGATCTGTAACTGCATAGGCTGGCCAACTCTCTAAGAAAGAGACTACCAAAGTAAGTATGAAGAAAGAACTAAAATGCATAAGGAATGCTTGAAATAAAAACAATGCTGATGTAAAGAAGTTTCACACTCGTGCAGCCAACCGGTTGTCAACCCTGGGAGAAGAAAAATTCTACCAAAATATCAAAACATTAAAGCCCTCCCTCTATAGTTTTGGTTTCTTGAACATATTGTCAAGTGTAATGCTACAGTAGTAGTGCTACTAGGCCTAGTAGTGGGCCCCGCTGTATAAGGCTAGTTTTTAAGTGTTTTTTTTCAACCTGAATTTGGCCTACCGAGGCCTAGAGCCTAGTTCACTTTTAGGTAAAAATGACCTGGGTATAAGCTAGGCCTATATGTTTAGGCAACATGAGTCGAGACTAATCAAATCAGATAGGGGGCCCAGCCAGGTAGCTAGCACCGTCCTAGCTACTGTATAGTTGGCTGTTGAGTGATGAGCCCAGAGAGTTCAGTTATGTGGGTAGGTAGGTTGACTTAAAGCTAGACCTAGGCTCTAGGTAGGTAGCCTATCGCTCTGATGTTTCAGAGACCTGCCTTTATTTTTATCCCCATGGACTGGTCAGAGTTTGCTAGAAATGTAGTACAGGTAGTAGGCCCTAGTACGTAACTACACAGCTGGCTTATGGTGGCGGCGCCAGCCGGAGGAAGGGACAGAGCTCGTCGGTCACTGTCAGTCAGACCATAAAAAAATATTAAAATAGGCTAACACCAGGCCAACACATGTCTGTCACACAGTCTGAGAATGCCATTTCTGGCCATCCAGAGGTTGCTATCCTAAAAAAAAAAATCTCATTTGGGAGGGGCACCCCTTCCTAGCTTGGGCCTACGAGCTCTTGTCGGACAGCGCCGTTCCCCCTCCCAGAAAATATCCTAGAGTCTCCACCGGTACTAGGCCTACTACCACTAGTACTAATAGCTGTTCAGTTCAGGTTAAAAAATGAGAGGAAACAGTAGTAAATGGGATTGAACCAGGGACCAAGGCTGAAGTGAATCTCCATCCAGGGTGGACACACAGTGCCTACCACAACCAGTTCAGCTGGCTCTTGAAAGTATATGATTAAATTTTCCATCATCATAAAGTTGAGTGTGTCGCCAGCATTTGTCCGACGGTTGTCCAATGTCCTCTGCAATAGAGACCCAAGCCCGAACCACTGGAAGGGGTCCATCGGCGAAAATAGGGACTTGAAAGGCTAATTTAATCGATTTTATATTCTCAACAACTGTAGATATTAGGTACAGTACATACATATAAATTGTTTTGTACCTCAATGATTTGCATGGGAAACTTAAAAAACACAACTGACCAGGGTGCACAAAACATATTCTTGTGCACCCTGGTCAGCAAATTGTTTTTCTACACAAGAGTGCTGATAAGGAAATGTACTTCAACCTGAAATCAGTAAATAATGCACCAATTATTAAATGAACCAGTTTGATAGTGTTAAGTCCGTTTAAAAAATTACTTTAAGAAATAATGTTAAATATTTTTTATTACGATTCAAAAATAATTTTTGAGGCTTATAGCCAATGATTTTTACATGGTTATGTAAACATGTAAATTAAGTACACATAATTTGCCTAATCCTTTTTTTTCCATTCATAAGTTTGTCTCAGTTTCCCATGTGTATGGTTTTTCTCCTCATGACTGTTTCTTTTTTTCTTCCAGACGGGAACCCTGGCTGCCCAGCCCCTTTACTGCCACCAGTAACTCCGGTGTAGATGACTCTAAATTTACTTTAGCATAATTTAAAATTTGTATTGATTGCAGAAAAATGTGGAGCAGATTGTGTTTGTTTTCAAGAAGTACACCATGGTACTGTCTAAGCGCTGGCCTATTCACCACAGGACAATCTAAACAGGAAGCTAAGGTCAATGAGGTCATGCCCAATAGCTCCAAAGCCAAAATGTATTTACAGGTGAAACTCTACAATATTTTAAAATTATTCATATGTAGTGATTATGCATAATTGTGTGAATAATTGTGTGAGCTTAGTCAACCATAAAGTCTTTTTTTTCCAATTGCAAATTCATTCGTGCAAGACGAAAGCGTTGGTTCATGCACATTCACATTTCTGTCGGGGTTTTCGCTTCAGTGCAATCGGTAGTTCGATCTGTTTCTACTTTTTGTGAAACGAAAAATATGCGCAATCAATCAGAGCTCAGGAACCGAACCGACGCCTTCGATTCACACAAATAAATTCGCCTAGTAGAAAACAGGCTTAACACTTCAATGAGAAGGGAACTGGAAGGGAACTTCTGTATTACTTTTACAAGCCAAAAACATCTAGCATATCTTGAATAAATTCATGCATGCTTACAGTTATCCCTGTGCATCTGGCCTTATGTGGAGGAGGGGTCCTAACTCTTTCCAAAAAAAAAAAAAAAAAAAAGTTTAAATGAGGATCAAGCTAAGATAACAAATTACAAAGGTTTAATGTTTTTTTTTTTAAATATAAATAGATGATAATTCCTTAATTTTTTCTGCCTGATAAAGAATGTGATGAAATAAGTTAAAAAGTAAAGGGCCTAACTAAACTAGCTGGGGAAAGATTGCATGAGGTGAATTTTGAGTGGGGATTTTGTCCTCATCATTTGATACCCTGCTACTCCATGTCTCTTACCTTAGTTTTAATAATTCGGATGTGAATTCTGTTATGAAATTTTTAAACTAGAGCACCCAAAAAATGCAAACCTCTGCAATGACCTTTGACCTTGACCTTGTCCTTTGACTTTCAATCATCTCTTGGAATATTGTGTACCATTCCACTAAATTTTATGATTATCGATTCATTAGTTTTTGCGTAATCACACTGGCAGACAGACAGTAGTTAATACATAACATTTTTGGTGGAGCTAATAATTATTAAATACTCTCACTTTAAGATCCAAATTCCAAGAAACACTTTAGGCCTTCTTTTGCAGAACATTATGATTTATCCCTAATTATTGCAGAATATATATTTTTTAATTATTACTAAATATTTCAGGATATTTCTTCAGATTTGTCTCACAGTCAGCTGATCAAAAATGCATCGAGTACGACTGTCGACGCAGCATCTATGCTTTTGTCACAGTCTGCAGTAGCAATCATTGCAGTATATGATAGCTATACGAAGGTAATAATTATACAATCATTGCATTGTAATATACAATTGCTATAAATATGTATTTATTTTTATTTAATTTTTTTTAATTTATAAAGCATCTTGCTTTGTAGACATGAAGTACTTCTTTTCGAGGTCATTGGTTGCTGCTGTAATAAACGCAGGAGCAGGCAACTACCCCACGAGTTACCCATTCATATTCCTGGGTGGAGAGAAGTAATGCAGATAGAAAGTGCCTTGCCCAAGGACACAAGATACAGTATGCCCAGGAAGGGATTGAAACCCCGCCCTCCTCTATACTCCTATAATATATATAATATTCAAATGAGGTTTGCTGCATAGCACCGTAAACACAGTGGAGTATATACTGAAACATGATGTTATAATTGTATCAATCATAGCACTTCCAAATAAAAAGTTCCTTTTTTCAGTTGTTTGAAAAAAAAAGTGCTTTTGGGGGTATTCAAACCTGCTTTCTCTCACTATCAAGGCGAGTATCACACCCATTAGACCACAGAGACCTATAGGATATACTTGCAGATCTGACCCCCAGGCACTTTCTCATACAACTGACAGAAACATTCAGACATTGTAGAGCTATTGTATGAAAGGCTTATAGGGCCTCTTTCTGCTGATAAAAAAACACCGTATTTGTTTTTTTGCAGCCGCAGAAATGGGGCTCATAAAAATATAACATATTTTTTTATACCGGATTTTCCCCCACTATTTTTGTGGAATTATTCTGGTATTTTGCAACAGATACCGTAATATTCATACCCCATTTCTGTTGCCTATAGAAATACTGTATTTTGTATGACCCTGACATGAGGTCAAGAGCCAACAGAGCATGACGCAAGTTGTGTTTTGTTTTTTCTCTCAGCTTGTTCATTAATTATACATGTGGAAAAGCGAAAGTGCGAAATGTGAACTGAAAATATAACGACATTTACGATTCAACTGTAAGGGGAAACCAAAATTACAAGGTTTTTTAAAGAAACCATGTTTATCGAGAAGAAGAAAGCTCACTACAATATACCATATTTATACGGTATATTTTATATCGTATTTTGAGGATAAGCAGCAGAAACAGGCCCCTAGTTTGCAGCTTGGAAATCATACTAAATAATATTCAAATTAGGTTTGCTGCATAGCACCATAAAGACAATATTAAACAAATAGATAAATAATAATAACAGTACTCAAATTTATTTATCTTTTTGTCTATACAGTATTCAATACACTTTCATAGATATGGCTTCCAAAACAATAACAGTAAAGCCCCAATTAAAGAATATAATTCTCTCGGAGTTTGTGACTAATGTTATTTTATTTTTCTATAAAGTCGATCAACGATCTTGTAGAGTTGTTGAAGCTACATGCCGAGTGCCTTGGAGATGAATCCGCAGAGGATGACCTTTGGCAGGTGATAATCCAAGCAAGAGTAGAAGTCGATGAGAAGGTGAAGGCAGTGCAGGAACTCACTGGCCTTCTAAACACCTCCAGAAAGGTGTTGGAGAATGCAGCGGAGGTCGCGTACCTTGCAGGTAACATATTAATACTATTATCTGAAAAATTTTATGGTGACAATTTCAAACTAAATCATGATCGAATTAGTGAGAACATTATTACCAGTGGCAGATCCAGGAATTGGAAATAGAGTGGGCCCAGGGGGAGGGATTTTTACAGACGGAGTGTCTAGACCATCCCAGGCTCACCATGGTTGGAGCTGAGATACAAAATATGATGACAGTAGATGGCTGGAAATGGAATACTCGCTTCAATTTGAACGTAATATTTGAATATACTTTTCATTTTTTTTTCATTCATGCCCAGTGTGCATTGGGCCTCCATTGAATCTGCCTATGGTTTTCCTTCAATGGCAAATCCAGGTAAATTGAAATAGAGGTGCACAGGAACTAGATCACCTAAGCTGACAAGATATTTAATGATTAGGCCTATGGCACCTCTAGATGGCCAGAAATGGCACACTCACTTAAGTTTGAATGCAACTTCATATTTTTTTCTCATTTAAAAAAAAAAAAGATAGGGGTCCCCAGCCGGCTGCCTCCCCCTCCCCCCACTTTGAATCCAATACTGCCCCTGGTCATTGGATGACATGCATTGGCAAGCGAGTACAAAGTAAAATTTTGTCTGCTCCTTCATACACAGTAGTGAAATACACAGTAATACAATCAGTGCCACTTCCTATAACTAGGTTTCCATTTATGCTCCATAAATAAATAGGTAGACTGCCTTGCCCAAGGAAACACGCTGCAATATCACTAAAAAGGAATAAAAACTCCATCCTCAAAGTTAAGGGACCCGAAACCCAACCATTGCACCAAGCACTCAAGTAAGCACTGCACCAAACCTGATTGTTTTTTTTAGCCTACTGATAGGCCTACTGAACCACGGGAGTATGTGAGATAGGTAGCATGTGAACGGGCATGGAAAGCGCCACACCAATATTTTGTATCTCAAATAAGCGAGGCGCTGAAGCCTCCAAAAATTCAAGCATCAATTATCAGCATCAACCATAATCAGTTTATTTTTAAAGGAAATAGATTTCAATTTAATTCTATATTATTATTATTATTATTTAACCACACTCAGTATACTAATTTTGATAAATCAATAGAAATAATATAGTACAGGTCTCCATCCAGTAAAATACCTATTTTTAGACCAAGGTTTTATGGTCTTTAGCAGCTTTGGTCTTTGATTAGAAATATTATAAAAATAAAAGATTAATTTGGGGCTGCAGGAAGGTGGTTTTTAATTCAGGAGGTTTTTAGTTGGAAGGAGACCTGCATTATATTTTTATATAATTTGCTTATTTAAATTTGACTACACTGAGAATATCTATGATATATTTCTATTGATAAATTAATAAAAATAAGGTATTATTATAATTTTATATAATGTAATTATTATTTAAGTTTGACCACACTGAGTATATCTTCATTATATATTTAATGATTAATCAATAAATATAAGGTAGTATTATAATTTTATATTGTTATCCATTGTATACTAATAACCTCATTTATGATTAATTATTGTAAGGCAGGGCTGCATCAAATACTCTACTAATGATTATCATTGATAATGCAACAGTACTATAAAATGTTGTATCAACAGTTGATAGTCATGGATGCTATTAAATACTACGATGAATGGATTATAGAGGGCAGTAAAGCTCTCATAAAAATGTACATAAAAACTAAAATGCTGATACTAACTATTGTTAATACTAGATTGATTTTATTAGAAATTTTATTTTGTTTTTAAAGGCGTGGGTGGTTGTACCATTAGTACAAATGAGAAATTGCACACAATAGAAAATATTGAATAATAAAATAGAGAGAATTAACGTTTTAAGGACTTTAACCATTATTATTACTACCTACAAAATAAATAAAACTAAAATGCTAAACTAACCATTGCTCTTAATACTTGATTGTTTTTAAAGATGTCGGTATTTGTTCCATTCGTACAAATGAGAAATAACACACAGAAAATATTGAATAATGTTTTAATTACTATAACCATTTTTGCTACCTATTTTTGTTTTTTTAAGGAATTTTATTTTGTTTTTTCAAAGAATTTTATTTTGTTTTTTCAAAGACATGGGTATTCGGCCACTAATAAATGGTAATAGAAAATATTAGAATACAATTTTTTATTTTATAGTATAGGATAAATTTATTAGGGTTGTCTTGATTAGGGTTTAAGGTTATAAGAATCAACAAGCATGTTTTCTTGTCAATGATTACCAGATGTTCTGAAGGTGGAATGGTTATTTCTAACAATGATAATAGACTGAAGTGATTTTTATAAGCATAATTATTGTTAAGAATTTTCTGTTCTTTGTTGTTTTTTTTAAGGATGCGAGTATTCTGCTATTACTGCAAACGAGAAATTACATACAACACACGTACTCGTGGAAAATGCACGACTATCATCTCAGAAAATGGAGAGCGAATTGGCGCAAGCTCAACAGCATGATATTGAAGATGTTATGAACCTTGAGGATTCTAAAAATAAAGAAAATTCCAAAGATCAGGAAGGCTAATGATAGCAGACAATACAAAATCTATGGGCAAGTTGAGATGCCGGGCGGTAGGGCTGGGGCACCGCTAACTACAGCCATAACATCGGCGCTCGTTTGGACCGCTCTTCGTCCAGGCTTTGGTTGGTAGAACCAAGTCTTCTCAGATATGGACTTAAAAATGGAGTTCCAGCGTACACTTCTGGTGTGTGTATGTGCGCTTTAAAGAACCCATTGTATCTTTCGAAAGAGTAGGGGGTTACCTTGATGCTATGGTCCATTTCAGCCCCTGTCGTTGTGGAATTATGTGAACATGTAGCTGCTATAAGTGCATCTTTACGGCGGCTACGTAGGTAGTTACGGACCACGTCCATACACAATTTAGCCCAATGACGCTGCGAGTTATGGGTTATTCTCCCACATTTTTGTTCAACTGTAATGGAAGGAATTTTTAGAAAATATATAAAGGACCATTTATGGCTAATGAAACAAAACATAAATAAGGCTAATGAACAAAATTAATAGTCGGCAACGTTTAATGAGTTTTGTACATTTGTATTTTAATATTATCAGGTGTAACCTATCATCCAAGTGATGGATGTTTCCATGGTGTTAAAAAGGTCATGAATGCATTCGTAATAATATATTAATAATAAATTAAGAAAAACTATGACCTAGATAGGCTAATGCTACTGCCTAAAAATTAGGTCTAATAGTAGGAAGGATCCCAAGCTAGCTACAAAAACAACAATAACTATGCACAGATGGTTTTGAACAACTTCAAATTTTTAATGTTTTCACAGTGATAGGGCCTTCAGTTGTCACTTGTCATAGTACCTAGGCACCTTAGTATTCTCACATTGTATTGCAGAGGTTTTAAATACAGCAGAATACTAATTTTCTTTTTTCCCCTAAAAATTGAGGAACTTTGTTTACCGATCATATCAAAGAACTTAAATAGCAGAAGAATGAGCTCTACGCGTATTTTGCATTAAAATTGTTGGAACGTCCGCTCTCTCTAGAATGGAGGAAATAATGTGACCATTTAACGAAGTGGAGAAACTAAGGAAACAAACAAACTCGAGCGGTACCTTTGATTTATCTATTGGTTATTAACATATTCTATAGCGCCGCCTCTAGGATGCAGGAAAATTGCTCCATGGACGTTTCACTATATCGCAAACTGCTCTCACTTCTATTTATTATCTTTGATCATATTCATGACCAAACACAACCTTTACATTTAATGTTGATAATATTAAATATAATTGCAATATGTTTTTTAATATCATAGATTTTTGGGCATTTTAACCAAATGAAAAAATGAAAATGGAACAAAGTCTAATTTGTAAAGCGAAAAGTTATTCAAGGTCATCATAATGACATATAAAAAAATCTGCCTCTCGCTTACTTCATGGCCAAACCTGCTTTATATTTATTGTTGAAAACATTATTAAAATGAGGGAAATTTTATTTTTAAAAATATATATTTTTGACACATTTTAACAAAGTTAATGTAAGTGTTATATTTTGTGTCAGTGGCAAAAAAAATAATCAATATAAACTGTCTCCGAAGATTGCTCTCTACATCATTACCCACCAGTCATGGAACGTCAAAATTCTTACAATGAAAAGATAGCTTTTTCCTCCATGCACAAACCCTACGCGAAAACAAATCACATCGGGGTGAGTCATACGAGGCTGAGTATAATCAACAAGTTTAGCAAATAAAAATTTATTTTTAATTTTATACCTCTACTAGGCCTACATTGTTAAGGTTTCATTTTATCGTTCAGTGGTTGTTGTGGTTGTGAATTATTTACAAAACAAAATGGCTTCTATCTAAACGATCAGTAGGCCTATCACATAATAATTTGTATACTGTAAAAGTTTTTACGGAGTAATTAAATCCTACTGCATGAGTACAGCAGCCGTCTTGTAGTGTCAAAAGTGTTTGAAGTACGGTTTTACTACGGGTTGTGTTGTTTTAGGCCAAATCATGGACCTATTAATAAGATGTCATGGACTTATTAATAGGTCCATGGCCAAATCAAGAACACGAACATAACGTCATGGACACCACGAGCAAACATATAGGCCTACTTCAAAATCATTTTTTTTTCATTTTGTTTTCTTTGACATTTTGATTATGTACATCGAACCTTACCTTTTCACCAAATGTTTAAGGGTACAACTACATTATTTAGCTAATTACGCTAGCTAATTAGCCGTTAGCGTACAAACCGAGAAAAATCTTCCGTCAGGGAGAAAAAAATGTATTTTTTACATATGATTATTATTAGTAGACCCTAAAATCGAATAAATAAACCATTGAAACCCCTAAATTGTCATAATTTTCGGGGTACCTTTCGCTAAGCCCGACCACGCCCGCTTAATCTCTCGTTTGGGAGTCGCCCACCACGTTGGGTAAATCCAGGCGCCACACCCGGCCCGTTAAGAAATAAAATACATTCACTGATCAGTTTTGTATTTGATGCGTTTAGTTTGTCATGAATGGAAATAAACTGTTTGAAATAGGCGTAATACCAAGTTGACAGTACTGCAAGTTGCCTAGTAAGTGAATTCAATGAGAAACGTTCCCACAACTAGGTTCTCACGATATATATTGGGAGAAGCAGCAAGGTCAGTCACATACATGTACTGTAGTATGATTCTTCGAACGCCGCCAATTCAGGAAATGTCGACACGCTGTTGTTGCTGCAAGGAGATCGGTAGGCCTACAACAAACGTGTGCCATGGTATCAGCATGGTTTCAGTGCAGTGAATGATGGCGCCAGGACCTGCCCGACGGGGGGAAATGGGGGGGGGAGGCTAGTGAGCGGATCGAGACACACTTTGCTGGGGGCAAGAGGGCCGCCTAGGGCCCCCGGTGGGGTCCAGGGGGCGAAGACCCCCTGTAAGCCACGGATATTTGACGAATTTATGGCGAATTTTTATTACTTATTTGATAGGCATCGAGCTACTATAATATGACTTCATGTAGGCTATGTTTTCTAATGTCGAAATCTACGATGGCCCACAAGGGACACACTGCAAATAAAAAGAAATGCTGCCAACAAAAAAGAAACGCTGCAAACAAAAAAGAAATCATGGAAACAGAAAAGAAACGCTGCAAACAAAAAAGAAACGCTGCAAACAAAAATAGAAACGATGCAAACAAAAATAGAAACGATGCAAACAAATGCAAACAAAAATAGAAAACACCAGCAAACAAAAAATGAAACGCTGCAAACAAAAAAGAAATGCTGCAAACATAAAAGAAACGCTGCAAACAAAAAAATAAAAACACTAGCAAACAAATAAAGAAACGCTGCAATCAAAAAATTAAAACACAAGCAAACAAAAGAAAACGCTGCAAACAAGAAAATGAAACGCTAAAAACAAAAAAAGGAAACCCTGCAAACAAAATGGAAAAGCCTTTGCGCGCGCGCATTTCATACTAGTTGACAACCATAGAGCTATTATTATTATTC